ATCATATTACCCCAATTTTACAGTCTCTGCACTGGCTACCTATTAAGTTCCGTATCAGTTACAAAATATTATTACTTGCCTATAAGGCCCTTAATGGGTTAGCTCCTGCGTACCTAACTAGTCTTCTACCACGCTACAATCCATCACGCTCCCTAAGGTCGCAGAACTCTGGACTTTTGGTAGTACCTAGGATAGCAAAGTCCACTAAAGAAGGTAGAGCTTTTTCGCATTTGGCTCCCAAACTCTGGAATAGCCTTCCTGATAACGTTCGGGGGTTCGGGGTTCGGACACAATCTCTGTTTAAATCTAGATTAAAGACACATCTCTTTGGCCAAGCATTCAAATAATGCATCTCATAATCTTGTACTGCAGTTATATCTGATCAAATCACATTACTATTCTTTAGCTTGGGTTAAACAAATAAATTTTGCTTGGTTGGAACAGCAGCTATGCTAATTATGTCTCTATTTGTTTCTCGGTTTTTGCCACAGGATTGACATCCCGTGGTAACTAGGATTTACACAAGCTTCAGTCTGGATCCAGAACACCTGAGAAGAGATGATGCCCACCCCTCAAGAGGACCACAGATGATGCCAAGCCTGAAACATCATACAGAACTACCAAATTTTGCTATAAGTTTGATTGCAACATATAATAATTGCTTTTAATAGTGTCCATCGTCTGTTTGATTACGTCTTTAATTGATTTTTTTGTACATTTCTGCCATATGTACTTTAACTGAAAGTCACCACTGATACTACTAAATATATTGTAGAAACTTAATTTTCTGTAAAGCTGCTTTGCAATGGTTTGTATTGTGAAAAGCGCTATACAAATAAACTTAATTGAATTGCATACAGGAACATGGATTAGACATGCATGAATATTAATGTAACGTTATTATTAATGTGAAACAAACTGTGTATGTGCGCTTTCGGTGCACTAATAGCTTTTTGTACAAGCACATTTCAGTATATGGTCGCATGTCTGATGAGTGTTTTATAGAAGTTTGTGATGCTCAGTGGTGTTTATGTACATATGAACATCAGACACTCCAAACAGAGACACAAACACTTGCTCTGACAGAGGAACTGTTCACTGATGATGTCAAGTCGCCTTCAGATCACCACATTCACAAAGTTTTTAGTTTTGTATTTTGGTCTGTTGCATCCCCAGGTGGTCCTGTTTGTTATTGCAGATTGACATTTAGGTGCTTACACAAAAAAGCTCTAAACAAATGTATCTTTTTTTTCCCTCACAGTATTTGCTGTTGCACTGTATACACAAATTATGAATTATGAAAATGAAAAAGCATTTTTTAATTTACCTTGAAACAAAGCTTGGAGAACCATCCTCAAATTTAATTCTGAACTTGGTAAAACAATTCAAGCTTTCAAAATATTTCAAGTCTTAATATGTTTTCCTTCTGTACACTTTTTTCCCTAAACTTTTTCTTTAACTGTTTAGCATTAACTCATATTGGGATGTTTGCTAAAATTGTTGGATGTGGCAAAGCCCTACCTAGAAAATTTTCCAGCAGCCACCTTTGTATAACACCCCTGTCCTTTCCTTGTTCATTTGTCAGTTGTTTTTACACTGTAGCTGCTCTTGTTATATGTTTCATACTTGGCTATTGTTCTCTGGCCCTGAGTGGTCCCTTTGATCCAGACCACAGTCCCTGCTTGACTAAAACTATGACCAAAACTCATGTATGTAGTCGACTCATAGTTTGTTGATATTTGTTACTGTAGACATATTCATGTGTAGATGTGTGTGCAATCAATACTTACGGCATCCAGACCCGGGAAAAACATAATGGAGCTGTTTGTGATTTGATTTCTGTCCAGAAAAAATATGCACCCCTTGGTAGGTAGTGAAGTTTGTGGATCAATGCGGCACTGTTGAAGAGATCCTCCAGCAGTAACTTCATAAAACTGACCTTCAATGTTTTTGCTACACCTAAAGATAAGCAGGAAACCAATGGCTGAGATCATTTCCAAGGAGATCATATGCTTTTTAATCATATGCTTTCTTTTTGTTATCACCTTGTAGCTTCAATATGGCCATTAGAGTGGTAAAATGGCTTTTCTCCATTGCATTCGTCATACACGCCCCATCTCATATGAGCCCACTCATGCACAAAGACTCTTCCTGCAAACAAACAAGCAAACTGCTTATAAAACAAACATAATACTGAATTAATAGACCTTTCCGACTTCTCTTATTTCATGATAAATGTTTAAATGTTGAAGGAATATAAACAATGTTCACCTCTTGATCCATAAAGCTCAATTAAAGTGTCATTCAGTAGGTATTCTGGGGTGAAATGAATGTACTCTCCCTCAGCTCCACATTCTCCATATTGATTAGTGTATGGTTCAACACCGTATGCTGGATTAGCATTATCAATTCTTATTTTGGCCTGCATTTCACATAGAATTGGTCTGAGAAGCATCCTATGCAAGTGAAGTCATTAATTTGTGAACAATATTTGGCAGACAAGATAAAATGGCATTATTCTCTGTACCTTTCCAAAGGACTCTGTTCTTGCTTTGGTAAAATCTGTACCGTTCCACTGAGCTGGGACTAGTATTGTAGCTTCTCTGAAATATACCTTTTCATCCAATGCATCATAAAGGTAAAATGACCCCTCAGTGACCATCTCCTGTCAGAAGAAGTGAAAAGATAAAATGAGAAAACGTTTTAAAAATGTAAAAACCTCTAAAACCATTGAAGTACATGAAGTTTGTTAAATAGACAAAACAGTACATATTCACCTTGATTTTATCAATAAGTCTGTTATCCTGTGGTACTCTTGAACTGATTGCAATGACAACGTCAACATAACCATTTCCATCTAGTTTGATTCCAGTGGAGGTGGACGACAGCAACATCCATAATAAGACAAACACCGTACGTGAGTCCATAGCTCTGGAGTACAGATGAACAGCAACCCCCGAACCCTGTTTTGAACAATGTCAAGTCAAATGGAAGGAATCTTTACTGGCATGAACTGATGGTATCAATCAAATTTCTGTCAGGAAAAAATGTCATCACGGTGTCAAAATGTTTATGGCACTACTAATTTTATTCCTGTTTTGCATTGCATTCCTTTATTCGTATCTATGCAGTCCTCTCTGTTTGTATACTGTATATTCAACAACGAAGATAACTTATTAAAGGAATAGTTCATCCAAAAATGAAAATTTGCTGAAAATGTACTCATCCTCAGGCCAGCCAAGATGTAGATGAGTTTCTTCCTTTATTGGAATAGATTTGGAGAAAGAAAGCTAAGTGATGGTTGCAAGTTAATATGCCTTAATGATGCATTTGTTTCTTACAAACACACAGCTTTTCACTTCACAAGACATCAGTTTATAGACTGGAGTAATTTCTATTACTTTTGGATTATTGTGATGTTTTTATCAGCTGTTTGGATTCTGACGGCACCCACTGCAGAGGATCCACTGGCGAGCAAGTGTTGAAAAATGTTTCCAAATCTATCTGATAAGAAAACAAAATAATCTACATTTTGGGTGAACTATTTCCTTAACAGCAATAGGGCTTCCTGTAGCTCATTCAGTAGGTCATGGCTCTAGCAACATCAAGGTAATAGGTTTGATTCCCAGGGAAAGCAAAATGTGATCCTTGAATGCAATATAATTCCCTTTGAATAAAAGTGTCTGCATAAATGTAAATGCTAGTTTTCATCAGTACTGGGGCACAGATCCCTACATTAAAAAGTTTCCTCATATTTTGATATATATATATATTTTAATACTGTTATAAATATGTGGATATAAACTGTACTTCTGCAAAAGTCAAATCAAGTCACCTTTATTTATATAGCGCTTTATACAATACAGACTGTGTCAAAGCAGCTTTACAGTGTTAAACAGCAAAATAGTATGTCAATAATGCAAGAGGACAACAGTGAACACTAATTTCTTTTAGTTAAGGTCAGTTCATCAATGATTCAGTGATGTCATCATCCAGCTATCCCTACATTAAAAAGTTTCCTCATATTTTGATATATATATATATATTTTAATACTGTTATAAATATGTGGATATAAACTGTACTTCTGCAAAAGTCAAATCAAGTCACCTTTATTTATATAGCGCTTTATACAATACAGACTGTGTCAAAGCAGCTTTACAGTGTTAAACAGTAAAATAGTATGTCAATAATGCAAGAGGACAACAGTGAACACTAATTTCTTTTAGTTAAGGTCAGTTCATCAATGATTCAGTGATGTCATCATCCAGCTCAGTTCAATTCAAATAGTGTCTGTGCAATCATGTCGACAATATTTCCAGAAATCAAGTGTCCTAAACTAAGCAAGTCAAAAGGCGACAGTGGCAAGGAACCAAAACTCCATTGGTGAACCAAAACTCCACAGGCTCAGGGCTAACCAGGCTAATGCTCCGGTTACTAACATAACGTAAGTTATGAATATAACTATGAATCTATGAAACTGAAGGATGACCATCACTAACAGTCTAAATAGAATGATAACCTTCGTTCTGCCTTCTCTCGAGACCTTATGTAAACAAAGTCATGCCCATGACACTGGAGGCGGAGCTTCCCATACTATAAAAGCGTGATGACCTTCCGGACTATCCTCTTACCTTGAACATCTTAGTATTCTGAGCGACAAGGACAGTGACGGTCAGGGGCGTAGCCATCATTTCAGAAGTGAGGGGGACAGAAATGTCACCGCCCTCCGGCTTCGAGTATGAATGAAACATACTCTGCACAGAGTGTTTAATGCTCCGCGATGTTCATCTCGCCTTATTCTGGGTCCGAATAAAACATCAGATCATGCACAGACTATCCTGTCTCTTTGAATTTAAATCTATATTTATTCACACCGGCTCTTGAAAACCTCTATGCGAACACACTTGCCTGAAAAAGTGCAGGGGATGAATTTACGTGATATTAAAAGTTATTTCTATGTTTTGAACATTTCTAAGCCCTGATGAGGCACGATCAAGCCCCAGAAGTGACAGTGACACAATCTCGAATCTCGAACCTCGAACAAGATGGCGCCGATGTGTGTGGCTGGCCGTCTGCTCTTTATGTTCTTTGTACAGTTTGTTGTTTGTCTAAGCTCTCTTCTGACTCAAACGGTTCATACACTTATAGTGTACGACCGGCAACAGCTCCTTAATTTAAGGAGTGGAGTAAAAGTTTTATTAAACACCGCTCCAGAGAAAACTGATTCTAATCGTCCACCTCCACCTGTACTGGCGTCCATTCCCACCTGTTTGCGTCGTATGCCATGGGATTTTACCCGGAGGAAACGCCGCAGACGGAGAGGAAAGCGGGGAGGAATTGCAGTAAAGATAAAACTACATCTAGCGCGGCTGTCTACGCGAGGTCCCCTCACGGCTTTCCCGGATTTTGAGCTCGTCGGTGATCACCTAGTCTCGCGGCGATTACTGGAGTCTCCTCAGCAATATGTTCGGCCTGTGATTCCGAAGGTTCTTCAAGTTCCTCCGAGGTCCTGGTCGTCCCTGGTTCGTTTTCGTCGAGGAGGAACAAATCACAGGAATCTTCGACCTTTAAATCGTGCCGCTCAGTCGATTGGTGAGTCAGTGCAGGTTAAGATGGCTCTGATAAATGCTAGATCGTTGGTGAATAAGACATTCATTTTACATGACTTTTTTACAACAAACGATCTGGATTTTTTATTTGTGACTGAGACTTGGCTATCAACTGAGGATGTGAGTCCCTTCTCTGAAATTGTACCTTCAAACTGTTCATTTTTAAACTGCCCAAGATCAATTGGAAAGGGTGGCAGCTTAGCATGTGTTTTTAAAAGTTGCTTCACTTTTCGGACTATTCTCCAGCTTTGAGGTACTGTTATTTCATCTAAAAAGGGACAAAAATTTTGCGATTGCTATTGTATACCGTCCTCCAAAGACAAACAAAGACTTTATACATGAGTTTGCTGATTTTTTAGGTGGAATTGTTTCGAAATTTGATAGACTCTTGATTGTTGGTGATTTTAATATTCATGTATGCTGCGATACAAATCCGCTTGCTAAAGAGTTTAAAAATCTTATTCACTCTTTTGACTTTGTTCAAATGGTTACAGGGCCTACACACTCCCTGGGCCATACTCTTGACCTTGTCTTGTTACATGATATCAGTCCTTGAAATTGGTGATTTAAGTTTTTCAGATCATAATCCTGTGATGTTCACATGTTCTATTTTAGATCAGATTGTTAAAACTAAGAAGCCTATTATTTGGTCACGTATGTTTAGCTCTACCTTTAGTGAGGATTTTGCTCCCCTTTTTGATGAGGCATGTAAGCTGGTTTCTCTTGATTATCCTTCAAAAAATTTAGATGCAGAACAACAGCTTACTTTATTTAATTCTACCTGGACTGGAATTTTAGACGCTATTGCTCCTTTTCAGAGTAAGCAACTCAAACCTATGGCAGAGCCATGGTTAAATACTGATACACGGACTCTTAGACAAGTATGTCGACGTGCAGAGCGTAAATGGAAAAAGGATAAGTTACATGTGTCGTTGGAGATACTGCGTACTTCATTAACTAACTATCAAAGAGCTGTGAAGGAGGCCAAATCATAGTATTTCTCTGACATCATAGCTAGAAATTATCAAAGACCCAAGATTTTGTTTTCTACAATTAACTTGGTGATAAATCCGTCAAATTATCTGCACTTTGATGACCCAGTTGCTTCTTGTGAATGCTTTTTAAGGTATTTTACAAACAAGATACATGACATTAGACAGCTTATTGTCCCCATAAATTATGATCCTTCCTCTTTTTCGGCTTGTACCTCATCTTTTAATGCCTTTGAAACTATCTCGATAGACTATCTTCATAAACTGGTTATGAAGTTAAAACCAACCACATCTGAAACTGACATTTTTCCAGCACGCCTACTTATTCAGGTTTTTGATGTTATTGGGCCTTGTATCTTAGAAATAATAAATAAGAGTCTTTCTGTTGGATTTGTTCCAGAATATCTAAAGCATGCTATTGTTAAACCATTGTTGAAAAAATCTAATCTCGATGTGACAGTTCTCTCAAATTTTAGGCCAATTTCTAATCTTCCTTTTATCTCTAAAATCCTTGAGAAGGTAGTTTCTGTCCAATTATTAAATTTTTTAGACGCAAATGGAGTTTTTGAATCTTTGCAGTCTGGTTTTAGGAAACATCACAGTACAGAATCTGCTCTCTTAAGAGTGTCAAATGATATTTTATTATCTTTCTCCAGCTTTGAGGTACTGTTATTTCATCTAAAAAGGGACAAAAATTTTGCGATTGCTATTGTATACCGTCCTCCAAAGACAAACA